GGCTGTCCCCAGTGGGGCTGGGACTCCCAGGGCCAGAGGGCCGGACTGCACATGCTGACTGGGGAAGTCCCATCGTACTTCAGGGTTTCAGGCCTGATCGCTGCTACCTGCAACAGGGCGTTAGGTGACCACTACCTGGATGGGCTCACCAGGGCCCTTCCTTGCTTCTCACAAGGTGGAGTTGACAAGTTCTCTGGCAGGGCTGGCCGTGCAGGCTCCGTGCTAGGACTCCAGAGATACCACAGAACAATACTGCTGAACAGGGAAATTATTTATTTATTTTTTCATTGAAAAAGAATTGGAGCTTTTTTTTTCCTTTTTCCTTTGCTACTTTTCGGCTGAGGGCAGTGCTCCTGTTCTGACGTCGGCGGCCCTCCGTGAGGAGAGGCGAGCCAGCGGAACCGCAGCCATGACTGAGGCCTATGTGAATCCTAAGGCCTACCCTCTCGCAGATAGATCCTCGCCTCACCAAAGAACTATTAGACGCCGTTCAACAGTCTTGCAACTATAAGCAGCTTCAGAAAGGAGCTAACGAGGGCACCAAAACCCTCCACAGAGCCATCTCTGAGTTCACTGTGATGGCTGCAGACCTCGAGGCCCTGGAGATCATTCTGCATCTCCTGCTGCCTTGTGAGGACAAGAATGTCCCCTACGTGTTCGAGGGCTCCAAGCAGGCACTGGGGCGGGCTTGTGGGGCCTCTGGGCCTGTCGTCGCCTGTTCTGCCACCATCGAAGAAGGCTCACAGCTGAAGCAGCAGATCCAGTCCATTCAGCAGTCCATCGAAAGGCTCTTAGTCTAAACCGGTGGCCTCTGCCACAGTCTCCTACTGACTCCTCTCCTCCGGGTTGTGTATCATATTTTCTGTTAGCATGTAGTATTTCCAGCTACTTTCTGTTGTTTTAAAATATTGTAGTACTAAAAAATAATATTGGAATCTATCCAGCAAAAACATAGAGAAGCACTCAAGTGTATGAGTCATCCCACCTTTCCATGTAGGTTGGGACATCATGAGAAGATGGCAGATGTGGTGGAGACTGCACCAGGTGGGGACCATGGGGTGACTGGGTGTCCCATCCTCGGGCACGTGTCTTAGCAGCGGCCACATTATGCGCGGGTTCAGATAATCTTCACTATCACTATAACCTGAACTCAGCCCCAGGTCTGGGCACAGAGAGATCCCAGCTCCCTCCTAGAGGAACATCAGGCTACAGGTCGATGACGATCTCGAACATTTCATCCCAAATCCTCTCAACCCTGTAGGCAAGTATGGAGAATGGAGTAATGCTCCCTGACGAGAAAGAGAGGCCATAGAAACACAGATAAATTGGAATTCATCAAAATTAATAACTTCATACTTCAAAAAACAAAGAAAGTGAAAAGATGGTTTCCAGTATAACAGAAAATATTTGCAAATCATACGCCCGATAAAGGAACCATATCCAGAACATAATACAAACTCTTACTAGTCAACGATAAAAAGCCAAACCACCAATTAAAAAGTGGGCAAAGGATTTACCGGCGTTTCTCCAAAGATGTTATACAAATAACCATTAAGCCCATGAAAAGATGATCAACATGTTTAGTCATTAGGGAAATATGAATCAAACCCACAATGAAATATCTCTTCACACTCTGTTGTACAAGAATATCCACGGCAGAATTATTCGTAACAGCCTAAAATTGGAAATAACCCAAATGTCTATCAGCTGATGATTGGGCGTTGTGTGGGTCTCCCCGTGTTGATAATGATGCTATAGGGAGGAGCTGCCTGGGGCGCTTATCTAGGTCATATTCCTGTGGCGAGCCCCCCACAGACATTTCCCCTGCCTGAGTCATGTTGCGCCTGGACTGGCCCTCACGTTTCTTACTATGATTGCAGGACCCACCTCAGCGAAAACCATCAGAGAACTTTTAAGAACAAGATTTATTACTCAGAGGTTCTGTAGGGTGCACAACACACAAGAGGGCCCCACAGCAAGGCTGCCAGTAGACGGAAGGGGAGGAAGCGTGGAGCTAGGGCTCTGCCTTTTGGGAGGCGGTTGTAGGGTTTGG